AGTGGCATATACTTAAACAAATTAAGACTGATTTAGCAAGAGCAAATCCATTCATATAATACTTCTATATAATAGTTTTAAGAGAAAAACCATATTGCAACCAGGGAAAAAGGGTCACTAGTTTTATGCATTTATTTGTAAAGAAGTAAGTATGTCTCTAAAAACTATTAGCAAATCAATGAACAATAAAATTAACTGGAAAATAAAAACATTCAGTAAGATATCAAAAATTCCAATTATATCAAATCAGAAGATTAAATCCTTTAATGTAAATCTAACAAAAATATGAAATTTGTAAAAAGAAAATTTTTAATATTTCTGAAAAATACAAAAAAAAAAGGTATGCCTCGTTTTGGATAGAACAAATCAACATCATATGATTATCAATTTAACAGTACCCCAACATGAACATCAACAAGTATATTTTAGAGAATTAAGGAGGTTCATGCTAAAGTTTATTTAAAAAATAAACATGTAAGAATAGTTAAGAACTCCAAAAAGTAAAAGCTACAAGGCTAAACTAGTTCTATTAGACATTAAATCATGTAACAAGTCTCCATGAAGCAGGGTGCTATGGAAAATAGACATATAGACAGTAGAATAGAAAGAAATAGAATAGAAAGCCCTGGATTAAATCTAAGGGCATATAAAAATAATAAAAGACACATCTTCAGTCATGGAAGCAAATATGGGTTTCTTAACATATTTGGCTGGCACAACTACACAGTCATTTAGGAAAAATAATTTGCATTCATACCTCACACCGTATGCAAGAATAAGCTTGTAGTTAATCTCATTTCATTTTACATCCTTAAAGCTTTAGTTCTTTTCATAGCTAAAAGGCAGTATAAGAATTTTTTCCACACTAATTCAGAAACCAAAATTTAAAAACATGGAAATACTAGAAAAGGGACATGGAGATAGGTCAGTGGTCTAAGCACTTGCCTAGGCAAGTGCAAGAACCCGAGTTTGATCCCCAGTACCGCATGCCATACTGGCCCCACTTCAGGCACACCCGGCCAGCCACCAAGACGGGGCGTGTTGGTGCAGGCCTGTAATCCCAGCACTGGGGAGGCCAAAATAGGAGGATCATTATGAGTCTGAGCTGTGCAGTCAGACCCTGTACCAAATACATTTAAAAAACCTTAAAATAAAAATAATCTGTAGATTATGTATATACATAGCAACATTGGTTGTGATACCTCATATAAAAATCGAACTAAATATTAGAATAGAGAAATGTGTTGAATAAACTATGGCATATTTACACAACTGAGTGCTATGTAGTTATAAAAAACATAAGGAATATTTCTATAAACAAACTTAACATGATTTCCAGGATTTATTATTAAGTGAAAAAACTCAACTACAAAAGAATTTCACCTTTCATTTAAGAAGTAAAGACAAATAAGAAACTGTACAGATATATTTCCATTCTGCAAAAGAAATCCAGGAAGTATAAACTAGAAATGAAACACACTACCTACAGTGGCTGAGAGAATAACAGAATGGTAATAACAGGAAAACAGGAAATGGGACAAAGGCGAGGACAGTTCTGCATGTCCTTCTGTGCTTTTATAATTCTTTATTGCTACACTAATAATGAAAATCAAAATTCTCACACTCAACTTTACTAAATAATAAACTTACTACTTTGTATGATGTCTGTTACTTCATAGTTTTCAGATGAATGGATGGTTATTTTTTTAATTCAATGAATTATCTGAGAATCTGCTGTGTATGCAGGAATATGATAGGAGCAAAGAAGACTTTAAATTGAGTGAATTCACTGTAATTACACTCAAAAGCTCTTCTATAATCAATTTTTCACATGTAAAAGAAGTTAAAATATAGATATATAGAAAGTTGGGAGGAAAGCAAAAAGAAGGAAAATCTCAAAATAAACACATAAAACTCCATAGTAAGAAGCAACTTCCTTTAAGCGTACATCTTAATTTCATTCCAGTTCCTTTATAATTGCATGCATTGCTTTTGTTTTGAAATTAAATGGTACAAGTTACAATTCAAAAGATAGACATAATAGAATCTTTAAATTAATATTAAATAATATAAATCAATTGAAGAAATACAAAAAAAATGGTGATTGTATGGGAGAAAATTAGCAAATGAAATCTACAATTAAGAGGAGACATTTTGTAAATCATAAGAACAGAAAGAAAAAGAGATAATGTTTCAATAAGTCACAGAACTCTTGTTATCTAATAAAAACCGAGCAAGACAGTTTATCAGTTGAATGGCTCCACGGATATTGAAGACTCTCAAGATCTTTTTTTCTAGGACTTCCTGAAATTCAAGAAGGTATCAGTGTCTTTAGGGTCTGAACTCCTAACAGAAGAGTGCTCTGTTACAGTTGAGAGCATTTCTAACTTACACACTCTAGGAAGCGGATCAGACATGATTGTTTCAGATACTTTAACATAATTTTATTAAGCTAAATAATTTCATCTATTAGTCTCCAGAGGAAAGAAAAGTCAAGCTAAAAACAATGTTCAAGCAGAACAACACTCAAACCCAAGCCAACAAACACGTCCCATGTTTGTAGAAACTAGAGGCCTTGTCCCTTCCTCTCCACTCAGTGCATTTCAGGTCCAACAGAAAAAAAGAAAAGCATACAGAAGAGCGGATCCAAAGGATTCTGAAGACCCTCCGGTTCTAGCTGACAATGGACAGATGAGTCTGGGGGTCAAATAAAGTCCAGCCATCTGTTTCAAAATTGGCAAAAACATAGGTCACATATTCAGGACAACAGCTAAAAAGGAAGAAAAGCAGATGTTCGATGAAGTTATAAGAGAAAATATGCAACAGTATCTGGATCAGATTTTACATATAATAAAAGGCTACGAAAATAGTTATTTTTATTATCTTTAATATCATTTTCTGTATTTCCAATTGTAGGGAGTTTCAGTCTGGAAAATAAGATCTACTTTTTATGTTGTAAGACTCATTGCTTTTACTGTTATATGCTGGCACTTACATTCATAAACCAAATACATTAGTTAATAAAATAACTAATGACTGCCTAAAATTTAAGGAAAATGCTTAAAATGAAACTAAGCAGAAGGTTGCTGTTCTAATTACCAGTGATATATTCTCTTCAATTTTTAAAAATACTTGTATGCATCTAAAGCTTTTGGTCTATGGCGAGTAGAATCAAGAAAGTCCAAACTGGGTATGGGTCATAAATTCAGATGAAAACATAAGTGGAAAGCAATGAGACACAAGGAGAAGCAACCTTATCTTTGCTGTGTTAATATAAAGATTTTTTTTTTTTTTGAGACAACATGTCACTGTTCCATTCAAGTTGGCTTTGAACCCACTATGGAGTCCAGGCTTGCCTCAAACTCATGGCAACCCTTCTGGCTCAGCCTCCCAAGTGCTCCAGGTGATGGGATTGTAGGTGTGTGCCGCCACACCCAACATAAAGCTTTGTGTGTGTGGCCTGCTTAGCCCACCCTGGGGACAGGGCTGGCATAGTATGTGGTGCCAAGGATCCAACCATGGTCCCTGTGTGCTTGCTTAAGCTTGCCTAAACAGGTGCTATAGACCACTGAGCTATCTCGTCATCCCAATAAAGCTTTATTTATTTATTTATTTATTTATTTATTTATTTATTTGCAATAAGGGGATTGAACTCAGGACCTACAAGTGCTTATTCTACTGAGCTATCTTCCTGGCCCTAAAACTTACTTTATACGGACAGAAATTAAAGAAAACCTATATCAAATCCAGTGCAACACATCTGTATTTTAATTTCCAGGTTCTATGGCTGATTGTTTCTGCAGCAGAAACTTTTACAGGACCAAGTGAGAAGGGAAAGGCCACTCCCTGCACAAGTCTCAAAATACGTAGATTCCATAAATGTTTGAAAAAACAAAACAGAGTTTTAGGGTTCTTAAGCAAGTAGTTTTAATTTCATGAAAGCACAGATATAATCCAGAGAGAATACTGACGGGCACTCTAGTCCGGTCGGCCTCTTTGGCACAGATCCTGCTGACATATTCTGTTTTTCTCTGTGTCTGTAAAGACTTGAGTTCTTGCTCTCATTTCATTTCACACCCTTAATTCTTCAGTGCTTCTCACACAAATAAAAGGCAATGTAAGTCTAAGAATTTTAGTTTCCGTTTCCTTAGAGGACATATTTTCCTTTTTCCATCCAATTCCAAGCAGTCATCAAGTACTTTTCTCTCTTCTTGGTGTTTAAATAACCTTTGGTCTTGAAAATAATGTAATGCCATAAAATAGAGCCTCTGCTAACCCACAGCACGGCTGTCCAAGACGTTTATGGACTCATAATTCAATTTGCAGCAAGAGAGTAAGCAAGTAACTATTAACCCGGGAATTCCAAGTCTAATATGCTGGGCCTTTCTATGTTTATTTTAAAGTCACTTCTGAGATTTGACAGCTGATTAGAAACAGAAAATTTCAAATTCTGATATTTTGAACAAAATACAGCAAATGTTACTGCAACATACCTGCCTGAAAGGAGCAAAGATTGGTACAGATCTGTGTCCAAAGACTTCTTGCCTTTGGTACAAACTAAGAACCACTTGTCACTGAGCAGGAAGTTTTACCACAAAACATTATAGCAGGAAAGGATTCTATCCATCTAGTCACATGGCCCTCCCATAGTAGAAATTTCTCCCACAACATTCCCAGCCAGGAGCAACCTCGCCTCGTGAACATAAGGGATGCCTCTCTGGAATCCTATTCCAGTCTATAAAACATGTCTTTAAGAAATCTTCAAAAGCCAACAGTTGCTTCTCTGTGTCTTCAGTGTATTGATTCTGCTTTCTTCATTTAACCAGCACTTATGGAGTAACTACTTTCAGCAGTAGGCATCATTTCCATAATGATAAACCATATCTGCCTTCTACCCATCTGGAGAGATAAACCCATGCACAAGAATAAAAACGAAGCACCACTTGTGTTTCCTTAGTATCGCTTCCCTCGCTGTCCTCCCAAGCCTGGGTATTAATTACCTGAATCACCCCTCCCAAGAAGGAGACTGCCGCTGCCACGCCGATCCTTTGTACCTCGAAGTCAGACAAGCCCAGCAGACTGGAGTTATTCTGTGTGGTGAGATTCTGACTGCTTTGAGGGACCAGCCGTTCCACAGCATTGGCTGATATTAAAGATGTCAAGGCAAAGGTGCCTAAAATGGGGAGTGTGGAGAATCTTCTATTAATAACTTAAAAACAAAAGTACAAAGGAAATTGTTGTGCTCTGCCATTAAGGTTAAAGCAACTTGGTAAAGGTCAGCAGATCTATTAGAAACACCCTGCTTGGGTTCTCTGATTCTCTACCTTACATGAAATCCATGAAAGAGCAGACATTGCCCTGCACACACGTTCATCTCAAATGCAGCCATGTGGCCCTACTTGCTGTCTTTTTAGGCATTCATTTTGCTACCTCTGCAGACTGACTTGGAGAACATCCTAGGGGCAGGTCCAAAGATTTGAATCCAAACTCAATTTACCAGTTACTTCAAGTTCATTTAAAGCACTCTGGATTTAAACTGTTTCTTCTATTAGATACAGGTACTCCTATCTATGTTTCAGACCTGGGGGTCAATATAAAGGGGATGAATTTGAAGGCTTCAATAGTGAGAATACAAACTCTTTAGCTGAAATGTTTGGTCCTCCAAACTACCTGTGCAAATACTACTGTCTTTAAAGGCCTGGCTCTCACTCCATCCTAGTTGCTGTGGATCAGATTTACATTTTTCTATCGGCTGTGTTCTCATAACCAATGTACCCCTGTTACAGTATAACATGCTGTGGCTCATAAAATGATAAAAGATGCCATTTCTGGCTCCAATCATTAAATAAGGTTCGATCGTATTTTCCAAGAAATTGTTATGGCCTCATACAAACGTGGGGCCAGGTTAAGTGTGTTCCCATCTTCCTGCCAAGATTTGCAACGTCTCTTTTCTTGGCACACCACGCCTGAGAATGCAGCCATGTGGGTATGGAAATGCTGATTCCCAGAGAGAAGGTGAGCCTACCGTGTAACAGAAACAGGCAGCAGCCTTAAGCAGATGTTCCCCCTGACTCACTGTTTTAAGTGAGACTTTGCAGAAAAAGGCCTGGGCAAGGCCCAGACAACCCAACACAAAGTATGCAACAGAGCAGAGCAAAAGAGACAAGAGTCCCACAGCAGAGGGTCTCAGTGGAAGCCCAGTTCACACAATCCTCTTGTCTTACAAAATATAAGGGGCAGGATATCCTTATCAGTGAAAGGACAATATTCTTTACCCAAAGGATTGTTATGATATAAATGTGTTAACTAAATATAGGGTATGTCACAGAGTTAGCATCTAATGGCAGTAGTTAGCACTTAATAAATATTAGCGATTCAGATAAATGTGAATAAAATTAAGTTGAAAATGCTCTGCTATAATGTGTTAATTCTTTGAGAGTTGATGACACACAAACACAGAAAATTGAACATTGTTCTCTTAGTGAATTAGTGAATTAGGTCATTTTCAATAAATCTTCAATACATCCTAACTATCATGACCATTGTCCTAATCATAAAGTACTAAAGAATACACCAAGGAACTAAGATCTGATACAGAGGCAAGATTTTGGTGGTCAGATGAACACTACACTAGTAAGGAGTATTCACTGCACACTCTTGTCTTGCTAAGAAATTTTTCAGTGTATGTCACCATAGAATAGTGCTGACATCAATTCAAATACTCCTGACACTAAAGAAATGTGTCTTTTGGCCTGTAAGTCTCCTAAAGAACTTGGGGAAAACATTTTTACAGAAACCAGTAAAGAAATGACTACAGAATTGAAAATAAAGTAATAAATGAATTAATTGGTAGTTTAAAGCTATTTTTCCTGGTATTTGAAGAAAAATAAAAGGAAATTGGATGGCAGCAGACACCAGTCTAGGAACTGCAGTTGCTTTGAAGATGTAGGAAGGATATTCTATCTTTTTCTACTCTGCAGTCTCACCCTTGTTTTTATCTCCACCGTAACAGTTCTCTGTTCTCTGTTCTTTCCCTCATTTCATCAACTTAGTTGGGCTCTAAGACTATGGAGACTATGGCTCAGAGACAGAATCCTCCAATACCATCATAATTTAATAGTTAACAGCCCATCATAATTGTGGGTAGAAGCATGTAATAGGAAATGAGAATGGATTGCAAAATCAGACCCAAGTTCAAGTACCAGCTCTAAACTTGCCGTGGTGGGGCATGCCTGTAATCCCAGCACTTGGGAGGCTGAACACAGCTGGATCACTATGAGTCTGATCACGTGGTGAGACCCTGTAGACCCTGTAGATCCTTACTAAAAAATACAAAAAAAAAAAAAAAAAAAAAAAAAAAAATCAAGTACCAGCTCTGCTACCGCATCTGATATAGTCTTCCTAGATTTTTTCTAAATTGCTGACAAACTTTGCTCTTTTAAATATTTATTTATTTATTTATTTATTTATTTATTTATTTATTTAGTGTGTGTGTGTGTGGCCAGTTCAGCCCACCAGGGGGTGGGCCCGGTGGGCATGTGGTGCTGGGGGATTGAACCTTGGTCCCTGTGTTTTGCTTAGCTTAGCTTGTTGTAAGTAGGTGCTTTAGACAACTGAGCCATCTCACCAGCCCAAACTTTGCTCTTTTAAAAATGCTTTTAATGTAAAATCTGAGAAAATCCTATGAATTGTCACATAGTTGATATTTTCCACAATTCTCTTTCCATTGGACTCATATCCAGATTTCTAGTTTTATTTTTTTTTCTATTCTTGTCATAAGGAATGGTCATTAATTTATTTCATTTTTCTTTCTGAACAATTATATTTTAATTTAAAATTATGAAATTAACATTGCTGATTAAAAGAGCACGTTTGATGCCTTTGTATTCTGCCTTTATGAATTATTTAAATTTTTAAAGATATTTCTCACATAGTCTGTTGTTGCCTTTGGTAACTCAGTATTCCATTCTGAACACCTAGGTTAGAAGGAAAACCCAAATGAAGTAATTTTTTCCTTATGAAAAATCATAAATCTCTTAGTAAAGTGAAAGTGAGGGCTGGGCAGATAGCTCAGCAGACTAAAGTGCCTGCTTATGCAGAGCGCAATGGCCAGGGGTTGATGCCCTGCTTGCCGTGCCAGCCCCATCCCCAAGGTGCGCTGAGACAGTGACTGGGACTAGGCATAGTGGTGCACGCCTGTAATCCCCGGGCTTGGGAAGCTGAAAACAGGAGCATCACTGTGAGTCCATTCTACGTAGTGAGACCCTAAACACCCTGTAAACCCTGTACTATATACATAAAAAAATAAAATAAATAAAACCATTAAACTCATTTTTAAAATATGAAAATGCTCCTATAAGATACACTAAACATAAAATAAAATAATTTATGGGAGAAAGATATTGATACATGTATTAAATATTTATTTGGAGTACCTTTTGGAGAAATTCAATTAGTCTTATGTCTGAAATCACAAGAAGGTCAAAAAAGTTACTGTAAATCCCCTGGCTTGTTTATTTTTCCATGAGGATAAAGTATCACATCTTCCTTTTTGACTATAAATAATTTTAAATATCAGGTTAAAGATTAAATAAGAAGGTCCAGCTGGCTATGTGAAGTACAAATACAGAAATAGAATGCTATTAGGATTTATTGTACCAGAGTAAATTTGGTTAAGTCTATAAGTTATGTGGACTTTGAATTACCTTTTATTTATGTAATAGGTCCAAATTTCCTAGAGCTGTTAATAATTTGTTAAATAATTTGTTAATTACATAGTCTTCTATAAGTGCTAATTACAAAACTAGTCAACCAGTAAAACAGTTACAATAATTACCTAGGAAGTAAAATAGGTTTTATAAATCATTTAGGTATTACCAAATTGCATATTTTCAACTTCCTGATGTAATTATGGTTTATGGAGCAAATGTGTTTTGTGTTTTTCTTTTATCTTAGGTTAAAGAGAGGAAATACTTATGGGGTCAGCTCTAAAATAATCCATTTTCTTCTTGTTGAGAACATATTTGAGTGATTTTAAAAATGAAAATAAATTTAGGAAATTATGAAGTAGGATAATTCAAAAGTAATAAGCTCTTAAGAATTTCTAGTTCATCCTTATGCTCACCTTCTTCTGCACTAATACAAAAGAAATGCTCATTCTAGAATTCCTAGCCTTCGAGAAATAGAAGAATAAGGCTTTGGATTTGGCCGTGTCTGTGTTAGAAGCCATGTACCTGTGACTTAGCTCTGTGCCTTACCAGAAACTTTCTAAATTTGGAGGTTTTGTTTTTCTTTTTCATCTAAAATACATGGATAATAATATTTATTTCAAAATGTTAAGTTAGGACAAAATAACAAAGCTCTTAATAAGTATTTAATATAAGGTACATGCATATTTCTAAAAGTTAAGTACATATGTAATATAAATATTATACACATACATATAACATAAATCTATATAATAATAACATTTGTTTTGTATAGTTACATATTTCTTCATCATAAAGGTACGTTCTGAGAAATGCATTGTCAGTAATTTTGCTACTGCCTGAATATAATACTGTACTTACTCAAGGTAAAATAGCTGTAACGTTATTAGGTAACGATGTCTTATGGGACAACAGTCTGTGCTGTTTGTTGTTAGCTTAAATTCCATTATGTAGCTCATGTCTCTGTGTGTATAAAATGCGTAAAAGATGGAAAGCTCATGACAATGCTAACTCTAATGCAGCAACTCTGAAATAGAAACCAAGACTTCGCCTTTCCAACTAGCTTCCACATAATGTGTACTCAGAGAACATGGTTTGGTTTGCAGTGTCTTCTGTCTGTTTTCTGTCTTTTTGAGACAGGGTCTCACTATGCAGTTCAGGTTGGCCTTCAGTTCATTTCATAGCCCCGGTTGATCTCAAATTCACAGCAGTCTTCCTCCCTCAGCCTCGCAAGCACTGGGATTACAGGCATGCACCACCATGCTTGGTTGATTACAGTGCTTTAAATAACTGCTAATTATTGATCCTTCCCTATGATAAAGTCTATGTTATGTAAAACTGTATGTGTTAGTGTGGTAGGCAAAATAAAATTGCCTAAATATGTCTGTCTATATACAAATCTCTAGAACCTCTAAATATGTGGTTCCCTTTGGCAAAGGAAAATTATTGTTGCAGATGGAATTAA